GTCCAGTTTTATACGAGAAAGTACGTCAGTTACATTGTTTTCCTTACCCGGTTTATATTTTATTATTAGATTATACTCTTGGAGTTTTAAAGCCCATCTTATTAACCTGGGCGTTAGGTTTTTCCCGGAGTAAAGTCTACCAACAGCCGCATGATCCGAAAAGACTGTTACTGGCGCTTAGCCGAAATAAACTCGAAATTTGTGTACAGCCATTAATACGGTTAATGTTTCTCTCTCTGTAGCTGTATAATTCCTTTGTGTATGAATTTCAACGGTCTTACTAAAAAAAATGCCAAAGGATGCCCTATTTTGCATAAGAGAACCGCACCCACAGGCATAGTCCGACGCATCTGGCTGCAATTTCCAAGGTTTTCGTCCCCTCTCCGGGAATTTCAAAGTACAGGGCATTGATGAGCGCTTCTTTTAACTTTTCAAAAGCTGGTATTTGCTTCCGCTGTCCGCGTAAACTTTACTTTTCTTTTCTTTTAATTACTAACAACAGGTTCAACAATATTAGCGAAATCTTTTATGAACGACCGATAGATAAGAACATAACCCAAGGAAAGAAAAAAGTTTCTTGGCGGTGTTGGGAGGTGGGAAATTCTTGATTGCTTTTATGTTTGAAGCTTGAGTTTCTATACCCTTTTGTGAAATTTTATAACCCAGATATTTAAGTTCTTTAGTTGCGAACTTGCATTTTGAGGCGTTAATTGTAAGACCGGCCTCTTTTAATAATTTAAAAACTTCTTCTAGATCTTTAATATGTTGTTCCAACGTACTACTCGTTATAATTATATCATCTAGATAGATTAAAGTCGATTTTCCTAGGACAGGCTTTAGAACAATGTCCATAGCTCTCTGGAATGTTGATGGGGCCCCACACAACCCAAAGGGCATGCGTAAAAATGCATAAGTGCCCGATTTTGTTATAAACGCGGTTTTATGTATGTCTTCGGGTCTCATAGCTATTTGATAGTAACCAGACGTTAAGTCCAAAGTAGTCATGTATCTAGTAGATTTAATCTTTCTAATAATTTCCTCTATAACCGGCAAAGGGTAAACTGGGAATTTAGTAATAATGTTAAGCTTTTTGTAATCGATAGCAAACCTCCAAGCCCTTTTATCCGAAGGAGGGAAATCGTCGTTCTTTTTCCTAACATAGTACGACTTGGACTCGCGTACTCACTATTTATGGGCGTTATTATTTGGTTCTTTAAAGCATTTCCTGAATATGTGTTCTCAATACGATTTGTTCTTTCTGTTTATCATAGCCGATAGGGTTTAGTCCTACAGGGTTTATTGGCAGGTAACTTGTATATCATGCTGCGTTACAACTATTTGACAGCTGCCAGGCCGTTCTGAAAACAAGTTTTGAAAAAGTACTCACCACTTGCAGGATGGCTTGACTTTCATGGTCATTCAAATGGCTAAGGTCAACTTGCGGTTGTTCCACTGGTTCCACCACCCTGCGGTCCATCTCCAGCACAATAGAACTGTCTTGAAAATTCAGTTGGGCCCTCGCGGCCCTTAAAAACTCCATACCTAAAATAAGTGGATTTTGCAGATTTTTTACTACAAAAATTAATACTTTGAGGCTTTCATCTTTTACCTGTATGTTTAATGATAATTTCCCGATGCATTGACAGGTTTTTCCTTGGGCCGCTATAATTTCTGTGTTTTTGTTTTTAAATAATCGTAACCTATAAAAATTCTTGAAAAATGTATCACTCATAAAATTACCTTCTGCTTCTGTATCGATGAGGGCTTCTACTGGTACATCGCCAAGCAGGACTTGTATAATTGGTAGATGTGAGTTCTTTACGATGACCGTATTTAAGTGTCTTTTTGAGGGTTTTTTTAAAACTTCCGAGGTCTGGACCCTCGCTTTCACAGGCCCCTCTACTCGTTTAAAGCTTTCTTTTCAACTTCTGCCTTCTGGGTACGCGGACGTTTGTTTTCAAATTTCCTTTTTGGGCCTTGACCTTCGAGGTTCGATGAGTTAGCTTGCTAGCTCTTTTCCCCATAAGAGCGGTTTGCATTTCTGGTCTGCTCATTTGAAGATTGCCTTCGGATACTTTGAGGATACGATGCCCCTATAGCTTTTTCCGCTATTCTGCGATTTTGAAACTTGACCGCCAATTCGAAGAGCTCCTGCAATGTGCTTGGGTTTCTAATTCCAAAGTAATCTTGACAGCAGGTAGTAATTTTGGTAAAATTATTTCAATAATCTCCGTGTCGGGTTTCTTCCCATACAGCATATCCGTCAGTTTAATTTTTCGCAGAATAAAGTCCGTCAAGTCTTCTATATCCCGTTGATAGAAACTATATAGTTCGGCTTCTAGCCTTGCTCGATCTTTCACTATGGAAAGGCCTTTAATAATGATTTTTTGAAATTTTTTAAAGGTATATGTTTGGCCTCCGAATTCCCCTAATAAAAATTTGCCTATATTCTTCCACCATAGCGCGGCCTGTCCTCTTAGTGCAGATGTGGCGATGACAACTTTTTGTCTTTCAGGCACAGGGTAGAGCTGAAAGTGATTGTCGAGGCTTTCTAGAAATATCGCCACCGAATTTTTTCCGTCGAAATTGACGTTTGGCTTGACTGACGCTCTCAACGTCTGGACCAGGTATCCAATCCCTTCCAATTGGCTTGCCATTTCTTGTTGTTGTTCCGCAGCTTCCATCCAATTTTCGGCCATTTCAGTTCGACAAGTGTTCGGGCGCCAATGTAAAGTTGCGCGCTTCCAACCTGCACGCAACAAAGTTGTGACTGCTGAGAACTGGAAATAGACCAAAGTCTTGAGAAGGGTTTAAATCCCTTTTATTCAACTTAAGAAGTTACAAATGCGTGCTCTTGACGCTCACAAACTACGCCGATCCGACGGTAAAATAAAAATAAGAAACTAAAAAGAGATATTAACAAGTGACTAACTACGAGGCTCTCTAAACGTAACTAACCTCACCGCGTTCTAAAATACCGCTGATAATTCAGCAAACTCTGAGTATTACGTTGAAAGATTAACAATTTGCCGAGGCAAGCACACAGGCCGAAACGCGTGGTTCTTCAATTTCTAACTAGCCACCTCCACACTCATGAAGCAAGAAAGCACACCTTCGAATTCGTTTCCCTTCTATTTAACTCAGAATACTTCCGCTGATAATTTGAATCCTTGCGCGTTCTACTAAAATTTACATACTCTGGCATTGGCAATTTCAGGGGAAAGTAAAGCTTGACAGGAAAGATAGTTTAAACTTAAAATAAATGTTAGTTAAAATAAATATAAACCCTACAACTTCAAATCGCATTTGACTGACTTTTTTTCCTGATAAAGACCAGAAGTTCTATGCTCGCAGAAGCATATAGTTACTAGAAAGATGACAATATGTAATCAAACAGATTGGAAGATATTTGAATGTGTGGAGTCATTAGGTTTTTTTTTTTTAAGTAAGAGATGTGAAAAATGAGTAGTGGCCTCGCCCTGACTCGAAGCCGGACCTCTCGAATACACGTCGAGTGTGCTACCGTTACACCACGAAGGCATGCTGGAAAAAAGGGAAAAATACCTTATAATAGACTAAAATTCATATTTTGTATAAAAAATTGAGTTTTTTTTACATTAAAATACCGAAATTACTTTCTTGCCAACCCGCGAACTTGGTTTGATAAGGCACTTGGAAATATCTAAGCATTGAATTTTACATTTTATTAAAAAATAACCACTAAATGTTTAGAAATTATATAGTTCGACCGCCTCTTCCGCGACTATGAGCGCACACACGCATGCGCCATTTGGACCGAATTATTCTCAAAACAGGATGGAAAGATGGGGACTTTCCTTCTTTCGAACATATAAATTATCTGTTTCCTGAGAAGAGAAGATTTTCACTTGACCTTTCACGTCGTAGCAAGTAATAACGTTCTTTTTGGACAAGTCTATGTGTTTTGGCAGAATGTCAGCCAGGGTTGCGTTTGAGACGGTCTAACACTTACCAATTTTTAAACTGTTTTTAAATTAAAGTTGGTAGCGGCATTGTGAGAGGAAGCTGGAGTATTTTGCTTTTAAGCAAGTAATTTATAAAGTTATGTATTTTTTTTTTAATTGAGAGATAAGAAAACACGCTCTCTAACAAATAATATGATTAAGATACAATAACACGTCAAACAAATATTAATTTAGAAGTTAAACAACAAAAAATCAGCATTATATTTTCAAATTTTCACAGGACTAGTTTGGACGATTTTACCGAACGATCATCCTCAGCTGCAAAAGTGCAAATGAACGAGATGCATGATTAGATAAGATAAGAAAGCCATTATCCGCAGCTGCTACTGGCAGTTGAGGATGCCAGTAGCAGCCACTACTACATCCTCAGCCATCATCCTCAGCTGCATCATCCTCAGCTGCATCATCCTCAGCTGCTACATCAGGAGATAAGCTACTGGCGCCATCTGTTGATGAAACCAGAATTAAAACATAATTTCTTTAAAGGCTGAAGACAAAGATAGATTGTAATTAGGGCCGTTAACTAGAACCGGAAGATTTTTTTGAATGTGAAATGCCTCTAGAAAATCAAGTTCACCAATGGAAGATGTTTTTTGAATAATTTTGGCAGCATAAAAATTGAAAGTGTGATTTTAGGACCAACAATGTTGGGCAACAGTAGATTTCTGTGTTTCCAGAAGACAGAAGACATATGCCTCATGTTCCTTAGCGCGAAATTTTAAGGCTCTCTTAGTTTGGCTAATGTAAATTTTGCGCTTTTGCAGCTGAGGATTATGGTTCGGTAAAATCATCAAAACTAGTCCTGTGAAAATTTGAAAATATAACGCTGATTTTTGTTGTTTGACTTAGAACTTAAATAATATGATATTAAGTATTTTCATCAAATTATTCTTTAGAAGAGTCTCTTGTTTCCAAAACAATTAATTATTTCTTCTATTTTATTCAAATTATATTTATTAACTTGGAGAAAAATTCAGAAATGTTAATAATATTTACTTTATTTCCTGACCATGTGTCCCAGATGATAAGCTTTCCATCCAAAGACCCAGATACTAAATGCCTGTGAAAAAAAATATCTTTAATATTTAAAATCAGGAAAAACAAAGCTTGGATGACGCATGAACATTTGATGTAAAGAAAAGATGGAAAATTCACTGCGAAAGGTAATTCATATTTTCAAGCAGAAAATTATAGTCTACAGCCAGAAGCAAATTTGCCTGATTTCAGTGAATGCTAATAAAAAGGAAAATTAGGAAATGATATATAAACTTCGAAGCATTTATTATGGAGCACATATTCGGTCCAGTGTCTAAGCCTTAGACCTTAGACTCTAAGTATATACTTGTATAAACGACACTAATTTTTCACATTCGCATCTAAAATATTTTGCGCAATCACATATTTTACCCGTATCTATTTTATAAAAAAATATACTTCTATTGCAAGAAATATTATTTCTGAGAATTATAACAATTGTTTATCTCGATGTTTTTCACATTTTGCTCTTTCCTTGATAAGCTATTAGTATTTTTAATAATTCGTGTTGTCGAGTCATTAGGAGTTCTTGTGTAGGAGACGTGAAAAAGAAGCCGGGGCTCGAATCTGGACTTCTCGAATACGTGCCGAGTGTGCTACCGTTACACCACGAAGGCATGCAGAGAGGAGGGAGAAAATGCCTTCCCCTTTGAAAGAGCGACTGGGGATTAGGGGACCCAATCGCCAAATCCTGGTGGTGAAGAATAATCATCCACCACCTTTTTTTAGTTTGGGTGCTACTGTAGAGTCATTAGGATTTTTTGAAGCAGGAGACATGAAAAATGAGCAATGCCGGACCTCTCGAATACGTGCCGAATGTGCTAACCGTTACACCACGAAGGCATGCAGAAAGGGGGGGGGAGAAAATACCTTATAATGCACTTACGAATTCTTAAGGGTACTCATACACCTTAAAACCCTTGCGATCTTCGAATATGTGACTGTTGCAAGAATTGGGATATTTTATCTATTTTAAAAGCAATTACTTCCAACTTTTACAGCTGACTACATAATATAGCTGCTTTGGGAACTAGTAACCAGAAAGTTTCTGTTGCGACAAATATTTTTATAATTTAATCTACTTTGTGACAACACTTTTTATGCGTTCATGTCATGTTTTCACCTTGCTCGCACAGTTTGAAACGTTCTGTTGCATAATTTAATTCCATAACTTAATATATAGCTTTTATAACATTTGTAAACTACTGTGAACCAAAAGACCTAAGAATTTAATGTTAAATTTTTATTTTATTTGGAGTTGAGTTTATAAAATGTATTTTATTAAAAAAAATCTGTCAGGTTTTCCGTGCATAAAATTCTTTAATATTCAAATATTCATCAGATTTTTGGTTTAGTTAGAAGACAGTGTCAATATAAATAATTTCCTCAAATTTCAAGTATGTATCATTAGCCATTTTTTAAATATCATGCGCGCAAACTGGAAACATGACGTGAAAGCATAAAAAATTTCGTCAAAAAACAGATTAAATAATAAAAATATTTGTAGCAACATAAACTTTCTGGTTACTAGTTCCCAAAGCAGCTATATTATTTAGCCAGCTGTAAAAAGGTGGAAGTAATTGCTTTTAAAATAAATAAAATATCCCATTTCTTGCAACAGTCACATATTCGAAGATCTTAAGGGTTTTAAGGAGTATTCGTCCCCTTAAGGCGGAATTTATATAATTGGCGAAATTCAAATAATTATTTTTCGCCAATTCCATTAAAACGTATTAAATCTGAAATGGTCGCCAGCGATATTGCAACATGAGGAAAGACTCATCTGATAGATCATCAGTATTGCAACATGAGGAAAGACTTATCTGATAGACTATCAGTATTACATTATGAGGAAAGATTCATCTGATAGACCGGATATTTGCATGATGATTATATGTACAGGTAGATTAGGAGGGCCAACATTATGACCAGATCACGGGAAAAGACGTGAATGATTATACTTGCAAACATTTGCCCTATTATTATTTTCTAGGAGTTGTTAGGAGAAGATAATAGAAAGCCACTGTGAAGTATCCTAATATGTTTGCTCGTCGTTCTTGTGCATATACAGCCCTAGAAAAGACGCATGCATTCAGTAAATACAGTTTTGCAAACGAAACTTTTAACTTTAAAATGCAATAAAAATTGCATTTAATATTATATGCCGTCAGTTCAGATCCAATTAGAGTCCCTTTCTTCGCTATATGTAGTAATAAAATTCAGATATCCTTCTCCAATACTACAAGAGGGTATATTTATTTTAAAACTATGTTTTAAAGTGCATATGTTACAATTTTTGTAACCTAAAGTAAAATTTTAATTATTACGTTTAATAGTTAAGTGTCTGTGTCAATTCTTAGAATATGACCTAAAGTTGTTTGGCTAGTCTTTAGCACTAGCCAAAGAACTTTAGATCTTTGGCTAATTATCGCATCTGAACTTTGCTGGGCGCTTTCATTCTGTTTGACAAATATCTTTCTCCATAACTGAAGTAGTATTGATAGTATTATAGATGTTCTTAATTGATGTATGGTTTTAATAATAAATTTCTTATAAAAGCCCATATTGCAGCTCGGTTGACTTAAACGACTGGCAGTTGCAGGTGGACAGTGAAAGGTTAGGTGAGCCTTTTAATTTGCAAACACAAGTACTTGTTTCTGAGATTCGAAAGCGATGAAAATATGTTGGAAAGGGGACTTGCCTCATAATAAAGTTTCTATTGCTTTATTGTATATCACAAAGCAAAAGAAACACATCAATAAACAGGAAAAAATGCCCGTTTAAACGAATTCATACCTAGGCACGGCCTCTTTCCCGCCTATTACGATGAGAGAAATAAATGTGCCTCAGACAATTCTATTTGTGGCAGATCACTACCTCTTCTCATGTACATAGAACATCATTACATAGAACATACATTAGAACATCACGGTATTAGAACATATACAAACAAACCCGTGTTTCAAACATACGTGATAGATGCTCCAGAATTTCATCGTAAAATCAACAGTCTTGCCAAATGCCTTTCGGAACAAGGCCAACGTAAATTTGAGCAATAATTGTTACGAAAAGTCAGTTTTAAATAAGTCTTCATTGAGTATACATACTTTTCCAAATAATGGACATGTTTTGGAAAAAGATAGCACAGAGCTGCAGTAGGATGCTTCACTGGATAAGTAACATTGCGGGACAGTACCTGTGTCACCATATAGTAAAGTGCTGTGTCTCGTATGCTTATTTCTGCCCTACCCTGCAAAAATAGCTTCATTATACCCAAGACCCGATTACGAATTCACGATTAAGATAACAATTTTGGTCGATCTAGCACACATCTCCCCTGTTTTTCAGAAGGAAAAAACAGCTGTCTAAAAAATCGCAGTGTCATTTTTGGGCTTCCTAAAATACCAAGTCCAAGTACCAAGTCCTCCCTGGTATCGAGTCTTTTCACTTATCTCTGGTTTTAGGTGATTATACTCTGGTTATACATCGCTGAAGAATATGGCAGTCATACCAGAAAATTTCTGGCATTTGTCATGGAAGATTTGTGCTATACCGAGGCTAATCATTATCATCTAGAGAAACTAGTACTCATGTTGGACAGAACTCGGTCGCAGTGAATCGAATATGGAATTAGTAGTTCGAGGAAGGACGAGTTCAATATATGAGAAATCCCCAAATCTCCGTCATACCACCGAATGAGCTGATAGGTTTGTGGTGCGAATGGTGGTATATCTAAAGAATTAATCACGCAATTCATAGCATAAAATTTGGGGTTCGTTGCAGAATAACCACTCTTATTTAGTACGATTCGACGTCGTCTGAAGTTTTGCAATTGCCTATCATATTAGCTGCTTTCACGGCTGCAATAGTGCTTGTAACTTTGTGGATGGATGGATGGACGAATGATAATGCATCGACTTTTAAGTGGAAATTTATTTCTCTCTGCTTTTTCTTTTAATCTGATTTACATTCTTTTACTTTTCTCACGATTTGACAGCATATTACTTTGGACTCCAAAATATTAAGCTAAATTAAAAATTAATTTAAAAAGTTACAAAGATGGAAATGGCATATCTATGATGGTTTAAAAACAGCTGAGTTACTCGTATTAGAGAAAAGCACTTATTACGAATGGTAGATTCAATATTTGAAAAGAGACATCTAAGACTGTTGAAAATTATTTCGAAAGATTTGAATAGCTGAATTTTATAGAGGAAAAAAGAGGTGTCTGTAATATTGTATATTTGTAGAAATAAACGAATTCTAGTACCTTTTCACATAAAAAAGCTAAAATACATATGAAATTAGAAACGAACTTGGGAAATATTTACATGAAATAACATTCCATCATTTTCTCTATGTAACACATCATGTTGAAACTGTAAATGTATACTAAAAAGATGCTCTAGAACCACTAAGTAAATAAGACCTATATTTACCTATTATCACCACAATAATGTACAGCCGTAACTTTGGATAGGTGACCTTTCAAAATTTTCTTTGTTCGCAAAGGTATTTTTGGAATATCTGGCATGTCTGAGCAAATATCTTCGATTGTTTTGTCTGCGGCCTCTGCCTGAGCTTTCTGAAACGAAACAAAAATAAACAGTTCAAGTTAGATCACTGAATTTTTTAAAGATTACAAGTAATGTTTGGCTGAAACAATTAAAGTACTGAATCAAATTAAATATTTGAATGCTTAAAAGGTCTTTAAGGTACAGCTATGTAATTTCATGTCAACATTTGATGTCATTAGACATTTTTTGTCTTATGACAATAAATTTAACTTTTTCATTAGACATGCATATCATTAGACATTTTTCTCTTTCTAACGATTTCTAATTTCTTTTGGTTTCCTTCTAAGTCCAAAGATGAAATTCGATTACTGATTGACAAATTGAAAAGCAAATGCAAAAATTAAAATTTGTCAATCCACTTTGGTTTAAACACTTTCGGTCATATGTTTGCCATATTCGCTTTCGCCTTAGAGAGGAAGAAAAATAAAATTTACCAGTTCTTTAACGATGGCGAAGTTTTATTTACACATAGGTAGACGGAAAAATTATTATGGAGTAACTTAACTTTCAGGCTATGAAGATTATAATGGAGATATAATATTGAGCTATTTCAATTGAGTTATTTAATTAATTACACAAAGCTAATACTTTCTATGCTCTAACCACCTAACAGGTTTATCCGAAACTGCCAATAAATGTTGCCAGACCACCACGAAGCTAATTTCTTATTTTCCAGTCCTTCATCTCACGCAACTCTTCGTTCTTTCTTCTTTCAGAAGTCTCCGCTGATCCTCATTGTTGACTCCCTTCAGCTATAACCCTTCAGAGTACTTATGTTTTAGCGCAACCACCTTAATAGAAGCCGCCAAATTTTCTGGGTGTACCAAATTCTGGCAACCATGCACATAACTGTTCTTCAGGCAACCACACTCACAACTTTTCAGCGCCCAGGGACAACTGAAGATTTCGCGCCCCCTACTGCTTGCCAAGGATGGAAAACATTTAATTCTAAAATGTCGTAACATCAGTTTGGCGCCCCTTGGATTTTGCCCGGGGACAGATGCCCCCCTTGCCCACCTCTAGCTACGCCCCTGTAGACAAATAGTGATATTTTTGCCTTACTCAATTTTAAAATATGCTCTTGTAGAACTTGCTGTCAATGAAAAAATGTGCGTGAAGTTTCTGCAGGATTACATATGTTTTGCCGCAAAATCGCTAGAGGGAACAGCTGTTTTGAATCTGATTTTGAGCGATCGCCACTAAATTTCCCCATAACACAAGATAAGATTAAAAAAACCCGTTTATAAGTAGTTTTATTGATTGTTAGTGTTTTATCGGTTAGTTATAGCTTTTAAGTAGTTTTTTATTAATTGTTTTTGGAATGAATACCTAGTTAAAAGATAATTTACATATGTATGTAAGATATAATATACATATGTATGTAAAATATAAAATATGAAAAGAAATTACTGACATTAATTTGGCAATATCCCATTTGTTGTTCATTTTGATTTGTTATTTCCCCTATCTATCTTAAAAATGGTAACTGTTACAACATATCAATCTAAACTGCGTCATACCAAAATTATTCCGCATCATGCCATCTTACGTAACGTGCAGCAACGCAGATTATCCAATCACTGAATAAGATAGCAATTTTATAATCGAAACTTTTAACACTCTCAGACATTTCTTCTGAATGTGCAGCGATTTTTCCCCGCTTGCCTGCATAAAATGAATCCATCGCTTCTCTGCATCACCCATTGTCTGGAGAGATGCAAGCTTCCAAAAACTGTGGGGTGGGTATTGCGCCCGTAATGGTGTGTTATTATATGTATCAATAACTAATTGTCCGACAATAAATTATGTTATATCTACAGCTGCTTGGTTTTCAAGTTCCATTATTCTCTCTATGCAATAAACGTCTCTAATCCATTACAGGCATCTGCCTAATCCATTACATGTAATAATATTTATGTACGTAGTAAGCAAATTCTTGCAATTGAATTGAATGATGACTTACGCCATTATTCTTTCGCATCTGTAAGAAGTCATCGAATTGCGCCATGGTGGCTGCGTTAATAGGTAAGTACCCCTTCAGTATCAAATATAAAAGTAATATAGTCTAATAGAACTGCTACCAAACTAAAATGAGCTACAACTTTCAAATGGAACAAATATTTAGCCCTATAAGCAATTATTTATGAATATCGCACATAAAAATCAATGCATACACAGAGAGGTGTATTTCCATGATGTCTGCAACTGCCCTAATCGGTATAGTAATTAGCACTGCTGGGTATCATGTAGTAGGGCCCAGTCTCGAGTCTCGGAGAACGCTGGGATGTAAGGTACCTTTATGAGAATCTGTTTATCATTTGGTGTTGATAATATTGTCAGCTCATTTCCTTGATTTTCATTCTTTTGGCTCTACATTACTGCTTTAGATGAATTGTATAATTTACGAGGAGTCTTGTACTATTTCGCTGAACAATGTGATGACGAGCGTAAGCTGAACGATTGGCGTGTTTAATTATTTGGCTCGGCTTCGAATCGAGAAATGGGCCCTTAGTCATTGATAACTTTGCGGTGAGATAATACTTAAAACTCTCTGATCGGCAAAACCGTATATATACGGCTTAGAATATTTTTTGTGATGTCTGTAAGAACGTGCATCTTGAAATATGTCGAAAACATATTAAGCATATATTAAAAGTACACTGCGAAAAAAAAAGGGCGCTACCTAGGATATGTATTAGATTTATATGTAGCATTGTTCTAATATAGGTATTTTGACTCAAAATCGGACTTTTTCTGAAACAACGTGCCAATTTTTTTCCATATTTCGATTCTACGACACAAATTACGCCAAACTAGCAAGTTTTGTAAAAATCGAACGAGTATTTTTTAAAAAATTAGCTCTCAAAATTTTAGCTCCTCAATGTTAATTGAGTTTGGTATATATTTATTAATCCCTCTTTTGTTCATTAAGCTTATTTGATTCTTCCTTCCACATTCCGAAATTCAGGTTCTTTCCAAATAAAGTTCACCCATTTTTTATGATTTATTTTTAAAATTGGTATTTTTAAATAATTTTTATAAATTTTTTAAAAAACATTTTGAATTGTAATCTATAAAATTTTTACCATCATCTTAAAGTAGACGTATTTTTTAAGCATACCTGCAAAAAATTACAATTGTATATTCAAAATTTCCGAAGATATGTGTGAATTTATATATTGGTGAGTTTTGAAATTTGGCATATTTGTTGAAAGCTATAAAACATCAGATGTGGTTTAAACACTTTGCTAAAATTATTTGGAAGTAGAAACAAAGTGGCTTCTTTTCCGCTCATACACAGTGTAAAATGGTAAAAACGGGGTGCCTTTTTTTTCCGCTCCGGCATAATGGAAGGGAAAGGAAATTGGCTGCCATATATTAAGAAGTTCGCCAAGTAAATTATTCATGGCCAAACTAAAAAAATTTCGCTAAGATAAATTTTTGAATTTCTCCGAAAATTTCGCACCAAATTTTTCAAAATTTAATATTTAGGTATAAGTTGAGTCGTAGAATCGAAATATGAAAAAAAAATGATATGTTATTTCAGATAAAGTCCGATTTTGTGTCAAAATACCTATATTAAAACAATGCTATACATAAATCTAATAGATATCCTGAATCTACTAGATATCGTGAGTACTGTGTGATTGAGTCGTGAGTACTGTGTGATTGAATGGGGAGTACTGTGTGATTGTACTTTGCATATATGTACGTACCTTCATCTGAGAATCATGGAGTTGAAGACAATTTGCTAAAAATCGGACATAATCAGAATACCAGAGGAAGGGAGGATTTTGAGTAAGCTTTATTGCTGTCGACAAAGGATGCAGATGTTTCCCACTTAGGTTAATAATCAAAGCAAATGAACTTGTTTTGATTATGGTTTTAGTTAATGGAGTTATGGAGTTAGTTTTCCGATAAATTTCCTCTAATTTCACTGACTATTTTCTATAATATGACCTCTTATCTTGAACAGATTTGCTAGTCTCTGCGGATTCAAATTAATAAGAGTCTTTCCAGCTATATATTCAATTCCTATACTTCTCGTTTACTTACCTTAATTTTTTCAATAAGGCCTTCCAGTTCTGATTTAAGAGTCTGTTCATCCGCATCTTTGTTTTCATTCTGAAAACAGAAAAAGAACTGTTTGTAAGATATAGTCTTCTTTGCTAAAATACACTTCTATTAGAGCTACTGGAAAGTTTGTGTATCGACTTTCAAATAAAAGAAGAGTACTTTTCAATCTAAAAGAAGAGTACAACAGGGAAAGTGAGTAAAAGAAGTCCTTTAATTGAGCCCAGTTATTTTCATATGGCACAGTTTCACGGGCTTACAATTTCACTAGCCACTTGTGGTGAGGAACTTAATGGTAACGAGCTAAATTTAAGAGATAAAATAGTAGTTCAAGACTACACAAACCGATTTAATCTAGCAGATTGCATCAGATAAACAAGATATTAACTTCGGCGGCAAGAATGCGAAGCCGAGATTCATAATTCAAACAACTAGTATAAATAACAACGTGTACACTCAGTAGCGAAAACATGCTCTGACTAATCTTTTCGCTACTTCAGTTTAAATACACTCTCGTTCATCCTAACTCATTTACATCCTGGCGAGGAAACGCAAGGAAAACCAGAAAGGACAGAAAAGGCTAACAAATTAAAATAACTGTTAGCAAAAATAATATATCTCCCAAGTTTAACAAAAATGCTTCTCTGTTTCCACTTTAAAGTCTTATTCTCTTTGGTAATATAAACTAAACTAGAGACTCTGGAAACCGTAAGCGAATCATCGTCTTGGGAATTACTACAGAGACTTGAAAAAGGGTTTAAAAGACCCTTTTATTTAACTCAGATAAAAGTTTAACAGAAAGCACTGCTCGTGCTTACAGAACCAGCCAGCATTTATAGCGTAACTCTAAAGTAAAGAATTTTACTTAACTAAGTAAATCGTAAGCTAACTCAAAAGCTACACAGACAGAATGCGAGCAAGTTAGCTGACACCATAGAGGTAGGAATAAACTACCTTAATAGCTCAGACCTGAAATCGGCGTGACAACTGGCAAGAATAACGCAACACCGCTGATAAACTGCTATTAAGAGAGTCAACTAGTAACGTGGTCTTTCAGCAGGTAGAACACGTTCTGATTCCACAATCTAAAACCATCCTTTAAATAATATCTCTTTCTACCGCATCTGAATGCACGAGAAATAGAAAATAGTATTCTGGCAAGAAAACAGAAAGTGAGAAAAACAGTAAGGATAATTAACATAAAATAACTGGAAAGAAATTTTTATAAAGGCATCTTATTTTATTATTAATTGAAATTTTGTTTGAAATGAACTGGTTCGAAGGTAATTACAGAGCATACATAATAATTGTATGTAAGAGCTGAAATTTAAAATAATAATAATAATAATAATAATAATAATAATAATAATAATAATAGAGCATTGACTGTAGGTACAGGCTTTACGCAATATTTTCTAATTTACGCTGAATTCAGTTGCATTGATCTTCATATTTCAAGAAGATGACTTGGAAAAGTCTTTGTTTCATAACTATTTATATAATTATTATTATTAGTTGCTGATCACCATTTTTGATTTCAGCACCTAATATTCAACTTGTGCTGGTTTATACTGTAGAGATATTAGGTTATTTCTGGTTTATACTGTAGAGACATTAGGTTATTTCGAAGCAGGATAGATAAAAAAATGTGCAATGCCCTCGCCGGGACTCGAACTTCGGACCTCTCGAATACGCGCCGAGTGTGCTGGCCGTTACACCACGAAGGCATGCTAAGAAGGCGTTAGAAATATCTTATATTATTACTTTTCTCTTATTTTTCAATTTTTGATTTTTCACTTTTCTCTACATATCAGTTTTTATTCTTTTTTTTTTTTTTTCTGTTGCATTTCGTTATTCTATTTGTTTATTAACCTATTTTTTAAATGTTCTGTTCAAAGTGTTTTTGGAAACCAGTCTCTAAGTTACATCTTAAACATATGAATTGTTTGAAATATCGTCGATGTTTCTTTAAATATAAGTTACAAAATATCATAACAAATTTTATTCGAGCTAAATTTGATTTTCCCTTCATTCTTCTAAAAATGTGCAGTCGATTCTCGATATATGCGTATCATCTCATATACGGATTTTTTTCTATAGAAGTATAGGAAGCTGTTTTGAAGATCCGCAAAAATTTGAAAAATGAAAAAAATTATGTATCCTAAAAATATAAGAGGGGATAATTATGGCAAAGTGTCAGTCCATCATGAATGCGTAGACTATTGGAAACTTCATCTGGTGATTTCACAGTAATAGAACCATAAATAAACGTAAAGCAAATCATACGTATATATGTATATATGCATATATATATATACTATTAAGTATTTCTCCCATCTTCTAGCATGCCTTCATGGTGTAACGGTTAGCACACTTGGCACGTATTCGAGAGGTCCAGGTTCGAGTCGCGCGAGGGCATTGTACATTTTTCACTTCTCCTGCTTCAAAATAAACTAATGACTCTACGGTGGCGCCCGAACTAAAAAGATGGTGGATGATGATTCTTCACCACCAGAATTTGGAGAATGGGTTCCCTAATCCCCAGTCGCCCTTTAAAGGGGAGATTATATAAAGTATTTCTCCTTCCTTCTAGCATGCCTTCGTCGTGTAACGGTTAGCACACTCGGCGAGTATTCGAGAGGTCCAGGTTTGAGTCCCAGCGCGGGCATTGTTCAATTTTCACGTCTCTAGCTTCAAAATAACCTACTGTACAATATATATATAAAGCAAATTATATTGCATATTTTGTTGTAGTCATTTAATTGTAATCTTAAAATTTGCTAGTCTTGCGGCAAATTTAGGTGTTGATGTGTACCTATTTAAAACATCCTATTATCTTGATCCTTTCCTAAATATATAAAGCAATAAAATAAAACAGGATCTCCCTCGTTTTAATGCAGATTTTAGACAATAATCACCAGTGTCCTTAGAGAGCGAAGGAGGCTTGGTAAATTCTTATTCTTATCATAATACACACTAAGAGGCCACTTTATTATGATCGGCCCATTAAGCTACCTTTTGCCTTTAGTACAGCACTAATTTTTCTTCGCACGGACTCTACGAGATATTGATAGGTCCTTTGTGAAATCTGAAACTGTGCCTGATAAATAGCATTTTCCATTGTGGGGCATTGGATAGTTGTGGATTTAGATGTATCATAACTCTTTGAACCTCATCCCGCTAATGCTCAATGTGATTAATATCTGTGGATTCTGGTGGACTACCTAAGTAAAGTAAGCTCTTCTTCATGTTCTTCAAACCGATCCTGTGCAATACCAGCACTATGACAGGGTGCATTCTCTTGTTGAAAGTAGTTCTCGACATTGGAATAAGAGATTAACAAAATAGGATGTACTTAGTCAGCAATAATGCTTAGATATAGGTCTTATTCAGGCAATCATGAACATGAATTAAAGAGCCAGAAGTATTCCAGGAAGAACATTCCCGAAACTATCAGATTGCCTCCACCAGCTTGATACAACAATGTACACTGGTCGTCAGATTTAAAGGATAATGACAGAAGTAAAACGTAACTGATATTTAATGAAAAATTTTTAATAGAAATTTATACAAAAGCATTATCTATCATAAATTACAATGTTTGACAGTTGATTATTTGCAAAAAATTGAAATTAAAACCAAATTTATGGAAATCGGAAAATTCAGTCACCTCTTGTGGGAAATTTTTTTCTTTAATATGGTGGCCTCTAACAAATATGCATATCTCCCATCTTGATTTCAACAACTTAAAGGTCTTGTGCTGTGCGTGTCACTCTTCTAAAAGTGTACTTTTCAGCTACTGGAGAGTCGGAAAGGGATTTGGCAAGCTGAAATTCGGCCGTAAGGCATTCCACGCATGCTCAATTGGGTTCAAATCGGGTGAGTAAGGTGGCCAAGCCATTCGAGTGAAATCTTCTGTTTGCAAGTATTCTGACACCACCTATGCTCGATGAGGCTCAGCATTGCAGTCCATTAGCAAAAAATATGGGCCAAGAGCACTCCTAAACTGTCTAACTTGAGGTTCCAATACCTCTCGTCCACATATCTCCGAGTGGTTACAGAGGCTTCTTGAAAGATATACAGCTCTTTCCTCTCTCCATATCAAAACGCAACTAGAATCGCTGTTCAGATTATAGCTGAATTCGCCAGTAAAAAATACTCGGGCCTAGAATACTTGGTTCCATTGAACATGACGACGGCACAGCTGAAACGGGACACTCTGGAAGCTGCAGTGAGTGGAACACCAACCATTGGTTTTTCTTGCATACTGTCAAACCTTGTTAAGCCTTCTTGCGACATTAGCTAATTCGAGCTCCTGTGACAGCCCGAAGGTCTGAAACCAAATCTCCTGTAATCTCTTCGCGGTTTCTTCCAGCCGGTTTTCTGATAACGTTATTGCTCTTGGTCGTCCTTGATCAGACTGTCTATTAACTGATCCAGTGCTTAAAAAGAGACTCCGAACACTTGAAATGACATTTTGAGAGATATTCAAATCTTGAGCGAATTCTATTTATATTTGACCTCCCTCGATTCTACTAATTATTCGCCACTTTTGACCTTTACTTAAATGATGACTTTGAGCCATTACTAATCACTCTTAGAAATCGCATTCACTTTAAACAACACTGCAGACAAGAATTCCAAAACGCGTCCATTGAGCTCCACATTGTCAATCACAGAATTTGCATATTTACGGCGCTAACAGATGGGCGAAAGTGCAATTTTTTGTTCAAATGTATTTAATTCATGTAATTTATAATATCATGGACTGGAGGTCACAATGCTTGTGCAGGAAATGAACGCGATAACTTCTTAGTAAAAGACGCAGCACTCCACCAAATAAGCACTCTAATCTCTATCCCATGGCCGAAGTCAGCATTGAAATGAAAGCTGAAACAACTTGCAATCGCACAATGGCAACATCAATGGGACCACGGACAACAGGAAGGACGAAAGTATGAACTCCTCCCTAAAGTAGAGGAAAACGTCACTTTTTCATCCTACCTCCTTTCCCAGAACATATCGGGCTACGGCCCATTTCCACTCTACTTCTACAACAAACACGAAGCCTCCTCTGATAAATGTATTTGTGGAAGCAGCGGGGACCCAGAACACTACATCTTCAACTGTCCAATGACGTCTGTTCACCATATCCGTCATCCAATCAACCCAGGTTTAGAATTCAGGCGATTTCTAATCAAGCACCGAAAAACATTTAGTCAGATAAAGAATATCATCGACTACCTCCACAGACAAGGACTTAATATGTACCATCTTTAATTTTCAATCCTCTCATTCTGCAATAATTTCAAAATGACATTGTTATCTCCACGCAAGACATATTTCTAATGTGCCTTCAGTCTTCGTTCATATCTGTGCCATACCTCCATGACATACTTTGTAACAGAGCCGATTCCAGTCGAGTACTGACATTACGAACTGACATTACGAACTTTATTGTATCTATTTTTTTATTACGAACTTTATTGTACCTCACCTACCTATGAACATTACGATCACCAAATGTAACAATATGCAGTGCTGTATATCCAAATGTATAACATCTGTTTAATTGCATGTAACCTTGTTTATACTCAATAAATACAAAAAGGTAGTACACAGAGGCAATACCATTTTTGCTTATAGCGATGATATGATGCTCCTGTGCTTGTTACTGTCCTGTATTTAATTAACATAAATAATTACAACATTGGATATTGGCAGCAACATTAACTTAGTGAGCATATTTTTCTCATTATCCTTTATTTTCGATGGCTAGAGTGTTTAGCACCGATGCTTTTGTGCATTTTCCTCCAAATTCTTACTCGCCTACCTGTGTGGTATAACTGAAAACGGGTTCATCGAGCCCACATAACCTGTTTCCAATTTACTGTCTAATCATTGCCCTCCTGAGCGAATGTGATATGTTTTATCCTCTTGTTAGCTGCAGAAAATTAAGGTGTTCGAACTGGTCTTCAGCTTTCATATCCTATATGATGCATCTACGGCGAACAATGCGTTCGAAGATCTTCTAAAAACTATCCTTAATTAAGGATGTGCAGCACTTTTCTACATTGTTACCATTCTGCTGTCTTTTAAAAATCTGCTAGGACACTACGTTCTGCTAAAATATTCAGCAGTCGGTAACGAACATAAGTTCCACGTTGAAACGCAATCTTTTGCCTGACAATCCAGTCTTAACACACTTTACTATAGTCGTATCTGAAAATTTTACAAATGCCACGGTTTTTCACTGATACTCTCTGCATGGCTTTGAGTTCCTACAATCATTTTACGTTCAAAATCGGTCAAATCATGTTTTTACCCAATTTTCAAAAACTCTTAATTTATACTATTATCTCAGGAGATAAATTGTTCTTTTTTATACTACCTTAACGGTCTAGCAGCAACAGTCCAATGCCATAGCTAATTTCCTTCCCACTGTCAAGTGGGCGTAATAAAGCGGTCATTCAATGTATACGTCCAATATAATAAACCCAGTTTTGGGGAGAAGATAGCTTGAAACTGCGGAACAATACGAATGTATAGAACTAGTGCTTGTTTTTATATATGATCTATTATTAATATTCGTAAGTGAAAATCTGTATACTGAACATTTTTTTGAGACGGAGTGATGACAGTTCGGTATAAAAGCTACATTTTCAGCTTCAGTATCGCAGATAATTAATAGCTAGCAGACGGCTGGTAGATGGTAAGCAGAAAGCAAGCTGGTACCCTCCGAGCAGTAACCTTCTCGAACCAGACTGATGGTAGGCGAACCCTCCGAGGAGTCTGGTGACAATCTCTTTCCTCCCGAGTGGCTGGTTCTTGGTTGCTTGCAGTGATTGCAGTAAGTAGAACTCACAGGGTTATTATAAATGGACTCATCGGGTTTTAAAGCACTTAACTGAAAAAATATTACACATAGAACAACTAATGACACGTAAAAGAAAAACGTTAAGTATCTACTAAGATCTTGTCCATATCGTCTCAAATTTTCAGTACGGCTGCCTGTGATTACATGAGACACGTCTATGCAGTTTTCAAATTCGACCCACATTGGTAGTAGCATTCGAATTCGGCCCACATTGGCAACGGAGGTATGAAAACAGGGGTTTTAACCCCTCCACTCGTAGAGGTTTGCTTCCACGAACGCGCTTGGACATACATTGTTTTTGAATTTACACAAACACAAATTAATAAACATCTCGAATTTTAAAACTGTCTTATCTATCTCCGAATGATTTGTTAGCACGGTGGTTGTGTTTTATATTGTCTTCGAAATGAGCGCGACACTACAACAATTTCTCATATTAGTATTCTCTTTTTTGATTGCCGCACGACATAATCATATAAATAAGCTGATAAAAAAAACCAAATAAATATATTGGATTAACAGCTGTTACTCTTCTCAGTTGCCTTCAAACTCTTGTCGAGTCAGTTGGCAACGACAACTGTAGAGTTCAAACTGCAACAGCTTCAAACTACAACAGACAGCTGTAGTTTGAAGGCAACTGAAACTTTGTCGACTCATGGAGCCCTTAGAACTCATGAGGTTTCTTTAATTTGAATAACCAGTTATTTTATATTTTGAATCTGTACTGTCTCTCTCTTTGCGCTTTCCTGCTACAACGCAAATGATTTCGCATTTATTTAAAGTGAGGTTTTGAGATTATTAAGTTCAACCGTGTTCTGCCTCTTGAAGGTCACGTTACTAGGTTTGCTATTCTTCGGTCTTGCATTAGATTGCCGATAGTTAAATTCACGCCGGTGAAGTTCTGAGCCAACTTCGCGTTGATTTGCTTTGTATAACCTTCGACTACTAGTTATTTAAATTGAGTTTTACATTTGACTTACTATTTTGAATTTCCCTCCATAAGTGCTGGCGGATTTGTAAGCACTAAGAGTACCTTCAGTCCATCTATTTAGGTTAGTTGTCACTCAGAATAGTTTATGCTGTCACTCAGACTTAGTCGCTTAACGTCTATACAGAGTCACACACTTTATATAATAGCAAAGAAAGTCAAACTCTCTACACGGTGCTTTCAAGGAGTCCTTATCCCAGTTTTAGAAAAACATATCTTAAAAAAATTATCCTTAAAATAGATCAGTTCGAAGAACAAATAAATATACAAAGAAGAATTAAAGAAAAGTATTATATTGTAAGATTCTCACTAGTGTAAATCTGAGTTACTGTAGAAAGTGACGAATTTTAAGAACTAGTTAGCAAATAATCGCTTAAGTTCGTGTGACAAGAAACAACAAGATGGAAGGGTAACTAACCCTTTATTATTCCAATAAGATTTAACAAAACTCCGTCTTGGAGTGTACAACCAAAGCCGACACTTGGGCTTGAGCTTAAGAGACTAAGAATTAAATTAAAACTTAATATTACTTAAGAAATATAGCCGAAGCTATCAAGTTTCTAATGCAGTTGGCCTCTTAAACACCAGATGACTGCGAAGCTATCAAGGGCCTGAGTACGACCGAACGTAATAACAGCTTCGAAAGAGTGTGTGTGTGATTACGGCAAAGCCTCGAGGGCTATCTGCCTAAGGGGGGATGCCTTCGTGGAGGACTTTCTAAGTGAAACTGGCTCGTATACACGTTACACATGGGGAAAACCATAGCTTCGAAAGAGAAAGTGGGCAAAAGGCAGACGCGCGTAAATAAGAAACTCTGATTCTCTCTCGCTAAGACCAAGGAACTTCGCGGTTAAATACCACTCCTCCTCATTATGTATTCAGACGTGATTCTAAAACTACGTTCTAGCCGAAAGTAGTAAGTTAAGAAATTTGACAGGAAAGGAACTTTAACTTAAAATTTAACTGTTAATAAAATTAACATAATCCTTACAATATTATTTTAAAAAAAATAACATAAAATTAATGCAATTTACTGATTAATAGCATTAATTTGTGCTTCAGATGTTACTTACCCTTCCATTATAGTTAGTGACAAGAGTGCACTTGCGTTTTTATGCATTAGATCAATAATAGCATTAATAATACCTCTCCCAAAAAAATAGTAAATACCTTGAAAGAGATCAGTTGTCTATTGGTACTGATATTCATCCTTCAAATGTGCTGCTTAGACTTCTCTCTGCTAGTTGGACGAAGCGCAACAATTAAAAAACAACTTTTAATACATCAGATGAAGCAAACACGATTATTATTTAATGGTTGATTAACGTGGGCCGAAAAATGCAAATCTTGAATCGTAAATGATTGGAAAAAGGTAGTTTTAGCGATGCTACTCATTTATTTGTTCGTGTATACGAGCCAGTTTCCCTTAGAAAGTCCTCCACGAAAGGCATCCCTCCTCTTAGGCAGATAGCCCTAGTGTGCTTTGCCATAATTAAATACACCACACACCACACCACCATTTATTTGTTCATGATCATACATTTAACATTGTTAGGCCAAGAACTGCAGATTCTTTTACCGCAGATGGCAGAAAATCTAGTTTCTATTGACGGAATGATGAATATACAAAAATTTGAAAACGTAGCATTGTTTCATTCTTGAAACCCTTTGCAGGGACATTTCAACATGACTTGGTTCCCTGCCACAATTCTAAATCTGTCAGAAGGTTCATGATAGAAAATAAAATTACTTTGCTCGATTGGCCTTGAAATTCATCCGACTTAAGATCTGTCGAAAATTTGAGGCGCATTCTCAAAGAATATCTTAGTAAACTGGATTGTACTGTAAAAGAGCTCATGAAGAACACTATAAAAGTAGGTTCTACCATAAAGAAGTAAAAAATATATACACAAGACTAGAACAGTCAATGCCTAAGCCCATTCAAGAGGTCATTTTTGCTAAAGGAAGCCATATTTCCTATTAATTTTATTATTATCACTGTACAAAGGTTATTATCACTGTACACTAATTTTATTATTATCACTGTTAATTTTCTAATTTATCTATTAATTTTATTATTTTCACTGTACACTGTTATTATTATCACTGTTTTATTATTATCACTGTACTGTATATGTACATAGGTTATAAAAAATCACTTTGTTCCGATTCATTTGCACACTATAGCATATATTATTTTAAATATCGTTTATTATATTTGATTAACACACACACATATATTTATATATGAAGTTCAAAAAGTAGCAAAAATTAAGATTATCCTCT